TGGAAGTAAACAGCAGACGATCTAACTGAAGGGATTACACCTAGTGCAAAGGGTCATAGAAGATCTTCCACAGCAAAAGATGTTCATGCTCAGACATAGGTGAACTGGGGTCAGGGAAAAGGGAGAGTGCTCTGGGAAGGAAAAAGGGTTAGAGCAGGGGGTCCCCAACCTATGGCTAGTTGTATAATTATTTTATTATATATTATAATGTAATAATAACAGAAATAAAGTACAAAATAAATGTAATACATTTGAATCATCCTGAAACCATTGCTCCCTCCTTCTATACCATGGAAAAATTGTCTTCCACAAAACTAATCCCTGGTGCCAAAAATGTTGAGGACCACTGCCCTAACACATCAGAAAGTCTTTGGGAAACAGCAGCAATGTAAAGAAATATCATTTATAGTTGCTTATTTGCAGTATGGAAATTAACCATAACTGAATAAAGCTGAGTAATGGCTTTAAGAAACATCACTCTGATAACCACATTTAAAACCCAGTAGCCAGACAACTAAAAATATAGAGAAAAAAATTAGCCAGACATGGTGGCGCATGCCTGTAATTCCCAGCTACTTGGGAGGCTGAGGCAGTAGGATTGCTTGAGCTCAGGAGTTTGAGGTTGCTGTGAGCTAGGCTGACGCCACAGCACTCTAGCCCAGGCAACAGAGAGAGACTCTGTCTCAAAAAAATATATATATATATAGATAGATATATATATATAGGCAGTTATGTGCTGGAGCCAGTTCATATTAGCTCACAAAAGCATAGTGTTAAATTTTCAGAAGTTTCATGAGCCAATTGTTAAACACAGTCATCACTTAAAAATTAAACATACAAATTTACAACTTCAGTAAGAAAAGAAACCCCATAACATAGGGGAAAAAACTGGGAGCTTACCTATCTTGTCCTAGGATTCTCATGGTTAAAATGATTCTCTCTGGAGACATGGTAACATTGGCCTACCTCCTGCAGGTTTAGGGTTATGATTTATTCTGCCTTCATGGTCAAGGGACTCCCCAGCTGAGAAATTAACAAGCAACTATGTCTTTCTAAAGCCACAGTTGGCTCATCTAAAAGATATAAATAATATTTCCCTCCATGAAAGGGTCTACGTGAGAATTGAATGTGACAATGTATAATAAAAAAGCACATTGCATAATGCAGAACATGTAGAAAATTCTTAATAAATATTAGCCATTACTATTATTGTATGAGAGAAGACTATTACCCATCAACTCTATATACAAAAGCGTGACATGGACATCGTACATTGTCCAGAGTACCAGGACAACAGCCCTCAAACTCCAAAATGTTCCAGGGTCAGTTTTTGCCACTGGGCTTTTCCAAAGCAGCTGTACTCCCTCAAGTTGACTGAAGTTTTATACCTTCGGCTCCTCTGATGGGGCTACGTGCATACCCACGGCACTGGCTGAGTTTGTCCTCAAAGCGGCTTGACTCTCTAACCTTGAGTAAACTCAGCGATCCAGAGCCTATGACAAATGCACAGTAAGGACGACGTTACGACAGAGGCGCTGCTTGATTTATTGTGTCTTATGAAATAGAAACCTCTTCACATCATGGGAATTAGTGATGGAATTTTAAAAAGAATAACAAAATGAAATCAGGAATGGGAGAAATAAATGCCTGGGTCCATCTCAAAAAATAAAAACCCTTTCTAATAAAAAATGCAAACCAGATGCAGTTAGAGATGACTGATAATTAAGGATGATAAATGACTAATGTTTTGTATTGAATTATCCAGTGCACACCATGGTTTCTATGTGAGGGAACGATTCACATATGGCTGCTCGACTATCTTTTGGCCTAAGCTTGATTTCACAGGCAATTCTCCCTGTCCCGCAGTGCCTCTTCCATCACTGAGTCCTGTATTTCTCTCGGGAAAGTAACCCTCTTACCTTTCAGAGATTTCTTTTATAAGAATAAGAAAGGATAGCATAGATTATGGGTAAATATTCTCTATAATGAGCATAAATTGTATGCAACAAAGGCACAATAAGCAGAATACAAACCCTGTTTCCTAGCGGGGATGATGCAATCTCACAGGGCTACCTCTATTCCCAAATCCAGTCTATCTTGTCACTAAGGGTGTGTATTTTTTTAGGCATATGTAGAGGGTGAGGTGCACCAATCTATGATTAAGCCTTTCTTGAAATCCCTGAACAACTCCTGAATCTCACAGTCATTTATTATGACTGCAGCCTCTTTTCTGAGAGTTTTAGTCTATACCACATAACTTAGTATTGATGGTATACTGCCTCTAACTACTAGCAAGTGCTTACTCTATGCTAGTATTATCCCACCAACTAGATTGTGAACAACATAGGGACCTGATCTGCTGTTCCCATTCACTTAATGTGGCTCATAGAGTATCCTCAACAAAGACTCACTGATTGTTGACAACAGATGCTTGCCCAATCATTAGGATTATGCATTAATATTCAACTGAGACAACTAGCTTCCGCCCAGATCTGGTTTACGTACCTTCAGGATTTTTTTAGACGTGAGATGATCATGCTAACCATATCAGAAGGGAAGTTTTAATGAAGAATAAGCTAATAATAAAATGATAACCTCTTTCTCTTCCTGAATAGTCCTGCTTAAAGCCTAACTTCATCCTTTTGGAGTCAAATCTGTTATGTATCAGTTATGGTCATTTGTTGCCAATGGAGTTGTTAAATCTTCACTCTCACATAGGGAAGAAAATAATGTTTACTTTCTATGTGTTGAAGGGAAAAAAACACTCCAAGATGGAAGAAAGGAAATGTAGAATACACTCCTCGTAGAAGAGGAATCCCAATTCTTCCAGAGCACCCACCCATCTAGTGCCAGCAACACTTTCTATGTAGTGAGAGGAGTTTGGCTTGATTCAACTTATCACCTGAGAATATTCAATGGGAAGGTATTTGAAGGACTTTTTATGTGGATTCTTATTCAATTCATTTAATTATCTTGGACAATAAAACTTTCTTTACATTTGCTGCCTTGCTTGTAAAAGAGAAAGAATTCTGTGTTCCTGATAGAAGTTTCTAGTAAATGTTGACAGAATCAGACAAGAGAAACTACATAAGAAAGGAATGAGATCTGCTGGATCCTTTTATCTCATTTGGATGTCCACGTGTCTTGTTTGATTCTTTCGTCATACTCTTCAAAGCCCAGTTGTTGCACATCTGGAAGACAGCGGGTTAGATGCTGTGGTGATGACAATGTTAAGGAAAAGTTGCTCTTCAGTTCATCAGACAGCTGAATTGCTCTGTTAGTTTTAAATTTAAAAATTGGCCCCAGCTGCTCCCACTTCTTTTGGCTTCTGATTTAGAACACTAAATAAAGACAGATAATTAATCAGCCCATTGGTAAGAAAGTAAACAAATGTCATGTGATTTAGGAACTGAGGTTACAATAGTGTCGGTCACCAGAAAGTTATTGCCTATCTTCTTTCATCCTTTTCTTGTGAATGACATAGTTGAGATTAGAATCTAATCCTTTACTAAAAGGATTTGTTCTGTAAAATTTGGATTCAGTCAAAAGGCCACACTTAAGGATCTAGAAGGCCACATATGGACTTAAGGCTGCAGGTTCCCCACCCCTGAACACATACAGGACAATTAGACACTCATTTATGTGATATCTATATCATAAAAGCAACAATTCTTTAGTGTGAATGTGTAGACTGTAATAACCAGTACTTTCTTAGACAACTGCTAGCTATTTGCATTTAGAGACAAAGGGCTGTAAGGATGATGTTTGGAAGTTTTGGGGAATGATAACTGCTAGCTCTTCTCTTTCAGTTGCAAGTTACAGAAACCCAACTCAAGGTAGCCCAAATTAAGTGAATACCTGCCTGACATAATTGTGGAAATCAAGGTAGGAACTAGCACCGATTGGTCCAGAGGCTCTATCTATCAGTGCCACCCAAATTCTGTCTCTTTTCTATTGGCTTGATGGTCTCCTGGTTTGGCTCTATTTTCAGGAAGGCACTATATTGGCACAGGTGTTGGCAGTATAGGCATGCCTAGCCCTTCAAGCTGGAGAGAGAAGGGCGCTTCTGTCCCACAGCTGCCTCTGACTGGTCAGGTGTGGGGCATAAGCCCAGCCCTGAGAGAAGCAGAAAGGCCAAGCCAGCACTATGTGAGCTGAAAGTGGGAGACAGATGGTTCTCATAAGGAAATGTCAGTTCGGCTATCAAAGGAGATAGTAGACATCCACTACATGTATCCTCATGTTCGCAGTTTCTCCCTACCTCCCACACTTGACCCTGCTAACCTTAGTAGCACACTAGCAGTCAGAAAAAGGGGATGAGTGAGATTCTGTCAAGAATACTGTGGCAGAAGCAGTTAATGTTCACCAACCATTTGCGTGCTCATAAAATATATTCCTCATCCTGCCCTGCAGTTCTCTGGGGCCCTGTGACTAGATCTGGCCAAATAGACTCTGAACCACAGTGACACGTGTCACTTCTGGGCCAAGGCAGTTAAAGACCATGTGCCTTCTCCATCTTCCACCTCCTTTATGGCAGTGACCTTGGAGGTTCTGTGGTCCAGATGGGATGGTTATCAGATGACAGAGGACTCCCCAGCCCAAACTGGACCCACACGAGCAAAAAATAAACTTTATTACACTAAGTTACTGAGACGTGAGGACTTTCCTGTTACAGCAGTGAGGGGTAATTACCCTAACCTAAAACATTACTATTTCTCAGAAAGCCTTGCAGACAGATGGGAACTAGCAGTTAAAAAAAGCCTTACTTGTGGATCTATTATAACATAGTCATTTCCTTTCTGACTTCTTTACATTAAAAGTTTCCTTTAATAAGAAAGTAAAAAGCAATTGTTTCAAAGTGTCCTGCATGTGTCCTCATGACTAATCCGTTGACTATGTGTTTTCTCTATACACAGCACTTAAATTGGCATTTAGGACATAATAGCAGAAACGACCCCTAAAGAGGATGTTCTGCTTATGTTAAAATCATTTTTTGGCGTTCCAAGATGGCAGCTACCATGTTGCGGGTTACCCTACGCGGCTGGCTACCCGGCGTCCAGCGGGGCTGCGGGTTACGGCTGTTGAGCCAGACCCAGGGGCCTCCGGGTTACCCCAGCTTTGTGGAGTCCGTGGATGAATACCAGTTTGTGGAGCGCCTGTTACCCCCCACCAGCATCCCCAAACCCCCAAAGCATGAACATTATCCCACCCCTAGCGGCTGGCAGCCTCCCAGAGACCCACCACCCAACCTGCCTTACTTTGTGCGGCGCTCTCGGATGCATAACATCCCTGTCTACAGGGACATCACACATGGCAACCGCCTGATGACTGTCATCCGGAAGGTGGAGGGGGACATCTGGGCCCTGCAGAAAGATGTAGAAGAGTTTCTGAGGCCACTGCTGGGGAAGACACCCATCACCCAGGTCAATGAGGTGACAGGTACCCTGCGGATTAAAGGCTACTTTGACCAGCAGCTCAAAGCCT